AGTCTCCAGTTGATACAAAAGTTGTCTGAAAGGGAGGAAAAAAACAATACTGTAATAAATAGAATTCATCACATTGGAGATGAATTGGGGAGAAATCCCTGCCCACCTATGAAGTCACTTGAACTAGTTATTACTGAGAGAGGTAAACAGGCAGGGTAACTTGTGCATCTTTTTCAATTCAGCTAGCCACAGCTGCATCTCCTTTCCACCTTTCACTACATTTTCCAACCCAAAATGTTGTTTTGCCTCCTTTTCCTTCACCTTCCATGTACACTCTGAACTGTTTTCCCCTATAGTTGAGAAGAGTTGAAAGGGCAGAACGTTGCATGGGAACTGTGGGAACACTGCAGAATAAAATATGAAACCGATTACAAGAATGCAATTGCTGTTGGAGGTGCAATAAATCATTGTAAGTCATGTAAGTTGAGCTAGTTGTATTAGCCCTACTCTGAGGTGAAATCACAGGATTCTTACAGTGACTCTGGATGATGAGCACATGTCACAGATTATCTTTCCAAATCTATTTGGCCACATTTTTTCAAATTCTTACTTATTCATTCACTCATCTACTTTACTAAGTACAGGGCTAGGGTTCACACAATATACTAAACCAAAACCATACAAATCACAAGGTGAATTAGCATGATGTGTCAACCCCACAAAGTTGAAACCAAACAAGTATAATCTGAAGCCAGTCAGAAGATCCCAATATAATTTTCTGGGAGAACCTGTGATGATGGATGTCAGAAATACCAGCCAAAGCAGGGCAACTTCTTCCTGTTTATATATCAGGAGGAGGAGATAACTGGTACCACTACTACTACTTCCATGTCAGAAGCAACCAGGCATTTCCATAGTGAAAGGAATAGCCAGTGACACCCACTACTACCCAACTGGTAGAGGAATTGGGAAGATATAGACTGAAAGGCAGGTTTGTGGATCAGACACCTAGCCCAGAAAAATCTCCAATTTCAGAGGGAAGGGTTAGGAATATATTTAGTGTCAGAGAAGGCAACTATTGACTATAACAGGGCTGTCAAACTCGCAACATCACATAACGTGTTGTGACGTATCATGACTTTTTTTGCCGGCAATGGGGTGGGCGCAGTTTCGCTATGATGCATCCGGCCCGCGAGCCAAAGTTTGACACCCCTGGACCATAAGAACATTGCAGAATCAAGGAAACCTGTTTATAAACCGTTTTAAGTTATTCAATGTACTTGAACCCATTTAACCTAGTAATTATGCTGTATCTACCCTTTATTCCACCTGGTCATATTATATCAGAAACATAAAAAAATAAAGAATAAAAGAAAAGAAAAATGTTTAGTGGTTATATCAAGACTAAAGGATCTTGTAAAAGTCTTCCAGAATCTGGAATTTCATTTAATTTTTTCTAGAAAAAAATATCCACAATGAGGACAGTATATAACAGTCTATGCAGCAGGTATTATCGAAAATGGCACCATAATGAAAGGATATGTAACAGAGACCTTGAGCAACAAGATGACAGGGTTAAGCAGGTGGCCCTATCTACAGATCTTATTATCACTATTAAATTCAATATCTAAATCTGAATACAGCTATCTGCCAAAAGGAACTAGAAAATATTGAGAACATTATACAGTATGATTATTGGTTACCTGAGAAGCCAATTAAGCTTTTAAGATAATACAGTTTAGAGATTGTTCTGCATTTGCTTTATCACCTCTAGATGTGCTGTACTATAACTCCTATTCTCCAAAGAGCATACTAACTAAAAAAAAACATGACAGGATGTGTAATTCAACACTTTTGAAGGGTGACAGATTGGGAAAATCTGATTTAGATTATGTCCATCTGGCATAATCCTTCTGTGTGCATGATACCTTGGATAATTGCCCAATGAGAATTATTTCTGAGTATATTTGCCCAGGAATGCATTATAGATCAATCTTTTCCAATACCTAATTAGGATAATTAATTGCACCATTCCACATTTTGAGGAAAATCACAGGACTCTTAATACTTTAAAAGATTATAGTATGTCAATGATGCAGAGGTCTTCTTGGTTCAATCCCTATATTTAATTTATCAACAACTGGGGATTTTTCATGAATAGGAAAGTAGCAAAATAATGATCATACAATGATGGAAGTTATATTTGCAGCTATGGCTAGCTGGTATAAGTTGTCTGTCAACATTTTAATTGGTACTGTTTCAACAAAGAGGCAAGGAAGAGGATTTAAACCATCTGATTGAATTTTTTGATGTTGCTGTTCCTGATTTTCTATGTATCTTCTCCTTTAAATGGTAGCATTACATGCAATTGTTAGTACATACAGGCTTAATTCATTAATTTAACATTTTTTAAAGACTTAAAGATAGTCTTCATGGCACCTGCCTTATAATAGACATCTGAAGTAATAAAAGACAAGACCTTCAGACCACAATCTGATCTGATCACACAAGCTCCACTAGTTACAGTAGGACATCTTTGCAGGATGGCCATCCTTTTCAAGTATGGGACGGAAGAACACATTTAACGGTTTTCCCCCCAAGACTGACCTTTACAATTAATGAACAATTATGAATGTGGATGGAACTGTGGGATTTTTTCCCCCCTGGACTTGGAGAAATAATTTTTGAGGAAGTCTGGGGAACTTTAACTGTTAAAACTAGTTTAATGCCCTATTAGGTGGCAGGAACTAAACAACCTTTGCTGATCTTGAAAAACTAAGCAAGGACTGTTTAGTACTTGGATAATAATAAAAGAAATAGATAAATCACTTCCATATTATCATGAAAAACCTAGAAGACAAATTCAACTTGAGACAGTCTTTGCCTTTATCTTAACTGTAATGTACATTGCAGTTAATCTTGCCAGAAATTTCGAGTAGAGAAAAGGAAAACATGTCATTGAATCATCTCTGCTTCATTTGCCTATGTACTGTACTGCACTTCCTGGGAAGAATAAGGCTGGAGGAAGAAAGAAAGCAAGCTCTAAAAAAAAGAGTTACTGTTTCAAATGCAGCAGGTAAAATATTTATAAACTCTTCCTCCTCCAGAGGGAGTTTTCTGCACAAGCAGAACATTAACTCCAATCCAGCCTGCTACATAATATATATCTATAATATATATTGTATTTTTTTTAAGTAAACATTAGAACCTAGGAAAAAAAGATTGAGTTCATTGGACAAGAGTTGTACGAAACATTTTCCATTTCCTCTAAATGTTGGATACACTTTGCAATATAGTTTAAAAGGCCCAAGGTTTTAGCTTACTGCTTTAAAGGAAAGGAGCAGAAGGAGACAGGGACCATGGAGCTAAAAGACGTTGGGAAGAAATGCCATGGTCTTCCCTGGGAGCACATGTCCAGATATTATTTCTTTAATTCAATTCTGGCAAAATCAGGAAAGTTTTCTCAGTCACTGAATTTGTTCTTTTAATATTCCAGATCCAAATGTAGACAACATATTGTCTTGAGCAAGGACACATTGGTCCTTTCTTTGCATATCAGCTGGGGAATGTGAAAGAAAAAAACATGGGGTATCATACATTTCCTGTTTGAAAGTTTTCAGATATGTGAAACTTAAGTGGGATCATCACTTAAACTTAAAGTTTCCATGATGATAGCTTAACACAATGTAGTGACCTTCTTCCTGGTCAAGATCTTCTGCTGTGAGTGAAGTAAACTAGGTCCTCATGAAATGTGTGACCCAGCTGTTGAGTATATAGCCAATACACGCACATAAACACATCACCTACTGTCTAGTCCAAGCTCTCCACTGAAAATGATTTTAATAAGAAATTGACCTTGTAGAAAGGTTATGACTCATGGCAATCAACTCCCCAAATAATAATCTGATTGAGTGTTAGCAACATGTGGATTTTGCCAAGACTTAAAAACAAGATAGCTCTCATGTGAATGTAATAAACAGTGTTTGCTTGATGTAAAGAGCAGCCCAAGGAAAGCTAAGGGAAGGTTGATCCTTCTTCCCTCAAATCTTTGTTGGTTCCTAATTGCAAGGGGGGAGGAACCTTTACCCAGTTTGGGGGAGAGGAATAGGCCATTCAGGAGGTGAATGTTGATGGTTTTAACAGAACTTACTTAGTTGTTCTTAATGTAAGTTATGGCACCTCCATTTGTCAATAGAGGAAACAAGCAAAATCTCAGCTCTGTGGAGTAGTTTCAAATGGTGGTTGTTGTTGTTTGCCTATGGAAAAATGATTGGGTCTCATAAGAACATCTCGAATGGGAGAGCCGCTGTTCTTAACTGAGGGCAGGCAGGTGAGAAGTTCCGGGCTCTTCCGTGTCAGAGAACGAGTACATCTGAAACAACCCGCCAACTCCAAAGAGGCCGTCTTCGGGAAGCGGCAATGCTCGAGCGTCCGGGACACGGTTTCGTTGTGTGCAGCCTTCGGCGAAAGAGCTGCACGCGGAGAGCTGACCCATTTGCGCGCCAATCGGGCTCCTTAGAGGCGAGGGAGGCGGCAATGCGGAGGAAGGTTAGGCGCAGCTCCCAGGTGATGGAGAAAAGTGACCGTGAGGAGAACGCGGCCGTCTCCCGTCTCCGCGAGTGACCCACCGAAACGTTGCTGGGCGTAAGGGCGAGCGCGGTCGCAGCCGGATGGTTCCCTTGGCGGCTCTTCGCCATCGCAGCCGGTGCCCCGGGGAGCCGGCCAAGAGAGGCGACTCTCCCGGTTGCTTATGCTCGGCCCTCTAGGATGAAGGGGTGGAGCCAGTGCCAATCCAGCACGGCTCTGTCCGCTCGCTTTGCGCGATATACGCATCCTCCTCTTGCGGCCGGGGGGGGGGAGGACGGGGAGACGCCGACTTAGCCGCTTGGGGCTTGGCAACCGCCGGTCCCGGGAGCGAGGCAGCTGAGGCGAAGGGCGGGCGATCGTGAGAGGGAGCGAGGGAGAATCGGGACGCAGCTGGGCGGAGAGGCTAGGCGGGGCAGGCGGGCGGGGAGGGGTATCCGGTTGCAGGTGTTTTCGAGCAGGATCCCGCTGCTGTAAAGGCGACTGCGCTGGCTCGGCCGAAGGGAGGAGGTTTCCCGAGGTTCCGGCTGGCTGTTGCCCGAAGCGCGGATTCGGCTGGGTTGGTGCGGATCCGGAGCGCGGGTGACTAGGGGGCGCCACTCGCCTGTTGGAGCCGCTCCGCCCGTCCCAGCAGGGACTTGCTCGGCGAAGGAAGGCGGACGAAGACAGGAGCGCAAGCCGAGGATGTGGCGGTGGGATGCGCGGGTGACGAATCTCTTCAAGAGGAACCTTCAGCCCACGCTGACCTACTGGAGCGTCTTCTTCAGCTTTGGCCTGTGCATCGCCTTTCTGGGGCCCACCCTGCTCGACCTGCGCTGCCAGACCCAGAGCTCGCTGTCGCAGATCACCTGGGTCTTCTTCTCGCAGCAATTCTGCCTGCTGGTCGGGAGCTGCTTGGGCGGCGTTTTCAAGAGAACGTAAGTCAGCAATTCCCGTTCTTGCTCGGCGTATCAGGCTCTTTCTCCATCGGCATCGCCTGCCACCTCGTTCCTTTGGGAGCGAAGATGCTGCTGGCCGGGCCGGGAGCGATGGAGGGAGCCCCATTCTTTTTTGCCACCTGGGCACCTTTTCAGTATCCAAGGAGGTGGTGTCGACCATCACTTGCTTGGTGAGATGCGTGCCAAGCTGTGCCCTGGAAATCAGTGCCTGTTTCTATGCCCATGCCTGTTTTCCGGTGCTACAAGGCTGGAACAGATCTGATGCTGTACTTCCTGCCCTTCTAAATTAAGGATCTTGGCCAAAGTTTGGTGCATCTATGCCTGTTGAAATCCATGCCGAGTTCCTCATAAGTCCCAGCCACAAGTTTGGGGCATAAATCAGGACTTAATTCCGGGTACATGTGTGTTGGATTGACTCCAGCAGGCAAAAATACTGAAGGAATTTTTTTCCCTTTAAAAATTACTCGATACTGGTTTTAGTCCTGGTTCCTAAATACATAAGCAGACTGGGTAGAAACCAGACTGTCTGGCTTGGATTGTGAAGTCAGGAAAAAGGGGGGACTGCCAGCCATACAATGATTTGTTTTGGGGGAACATGTTTTAATGTGCAGGCCACGGTGGTTCAGCCACAAACTATGGCTTAACTTTATGAATCTAGCCTATGTGTTGCTGTTAATGGATGATACAATCCAGAGGACATTTCTGGTGGGTGGATGTGTGGGTGGATGAGTCAGATTGAGTAGGTACCTAACACAGTAGTGGGCAAAACCTATTCAGGGACAACCTGGTTCCTGTGTCTTTAAGAACAGCCCTTCGCACCAAAATCCAGCAGTTAGTAGCCACATACATAATTATTTGTTTAAATGATAGATTACAATGAAATAAGATTGAACAATGATAGAGATGCAGTCACAAGAGTCAGTTATCTTAGAAGCAGTTAACCAAGAAATGTCAATATCCCTCTTAGATATGCTTCTTATACAGGCAGTTTGTGAATATAACACACACACATACCACACTTTTCCACATTTTATTGCTTTTGCTAGTTAAGTTTGACTTTTTGCAAATTAGGCCAATATCTGGGTTCAAAAAGCAATGTGCTTTCTATTTGTGAATTATTTAAAACATATCCTCCAATAACTTTCAGAGGGCTTATCTAAATAAGATCAAAGTAATCTGGCCAAATATGAACAGGGGCCATGCAAAATGATATTTATGTAATAACCATGTACCTGTCAGTTGAGAAATCCCACAGAAATCAATCTTGCTGTAGGATCACCTTCCAGGGCCTATACTAGCAACCCTTGGGTCTGTTCACATGACATCATGGTGCTTATGTGAACTCTTTTGTCTGCATAGAGGTGGTTGCATGTGGCAGGATCCCAGAAGGATCTACAGTGGGGAACCAGCAGAACGCAGCATGCCTGATGGACATTGACATAGAAACCTCAGGCTGCAGAAATCATGCTGAGAATTTCTCTTTGTAATCTAAGAGGTTTGTTGTAAAGGACTTGTTTTAATAACCTCAGCGTCCAGATTCAAGCTGTCTTCTTCTCTGAAAAGCTGGCAGTGAACATCTAGTGGCCAATAAGCATTTAAGTTGATGTACGGTAAAACAGTAAATACTCCATTTTCATACAGAGTTCCAGGACAAGATGATGTGATTCTTTTTAAATCATTGATGAACAATTAATAAGGAAATGATCCCTATAAAGCAGAAAACATGAACAGTAATTTCCCCATCTTACTCCCAATTTGTCTTATAATGGCTATATTATAGTCTTGATTCAATTTGTTCTAGGTTCCCATTTTAACTTATGATTAATAACTGTCAACTGATGTTTAATATGGAAAAAAGTTTTAATGATCTACATGTTCTAAATCTAGGTGCTTTAAAGGTATTGTTGACTGATTTTGATCAATTAAGCTTTAAAACCCAATTCTTTTAACTTGTAGGATGTTTGCATAATATTTAATAGTCTCATGATCAATGCATGTTTTGGAATTTCTTGAATCAAGGCAAGCACACAAAATATTCATGTAATAACAGTTTTGTAAGCAAAGACACTCTTCCATTACCACATCTCTGAATAAAATCAATCACACTAATTATTCTTTTCAACATCATAATTATGATGTCAAAAAGAACAGTCCTTCTTGAACCTTTAACTATTGGTATGCCTGAACATACATCATATATATAATTATTTGACTTCAACTTTACAATGTGATGTGAAATTGTTCCATAAAATCTTTAGAATAGAATTTTTATAAATGTATGATTTATGTGGACAAGATCATAGAGAAGCTGTCACTTATTAATAAAAGAGAAATTGTGTGTGAATTGGTTTGGACCATTTTGAAAAAAGTGTGGGATTATATCTTGATTTCTCATCTGTCTTGGCAATATTGGACAGTGTCTTCTATTATTGCCCAGCATCATTCTTCTAAAACATTTCCATAATTTGGTTCTGTCCAATGACCCTTTAAAGGAAAAATTAAATTAAAAGCAGATTAAATGATTATGGCATTTAGAATGCTAAAAGGGCTCTATTCTTTCCAGAGAGTCATGTATGTTACATACATTATCTACAGTAACAGAGCCTATTTAAGCATGAAAGAAACTGCTTGGTCATATATTTTTATCATTAAAGTAAAATTCATTGGCAAATCGTTTCTTAAAGATTCTATAGGCTAATCATTGTTGATCAATATTGCATTTTTCCCAACAGTCCTAAGTATGTCAATTAATTCCCAGCACTCCATTAGATTTAGTCTAAGAAATGAGACTGCAATTAACTTGTATACAGGTCAGCTAATATATCATAGACTTGATGTGCAAGTTTGTAGAACCTCAATTGAACTTGCAAGAACATTAGCTAGTCTTTTAAATTAATATGTACAATGTACATATTGTGCAATGTACAGTATGTTTTCTGAGTTATGAAATATGCTACAATTCTCACTTTACTAGGGAAAAACAGAGAGAAGGCTACTTCCTAATTGCTAGGTAGACAGATGTTAATAACTGTGGAGTCCTTGGTAATAATAATAATAATAAAGTTGGAAGGGAGCTTGGAGGTCATCTAGTCCAACCCCCTGCTCAGGCAGGAAACCCTATATCATTTCAGACAAATGGCTGTCCAGTCTCTTCTTAAAAACTTCCCGCGTTGGAGCATTCACTGCTTCTGGAGGCAGGTTGTTCCACTGGTTAATTGTTCTGTCAGGAAGTTTCTCCTTAGTTCTAGGTTGCTTAGTTCTCCTTAGTTCTAGGTGCTTTCTAAGCTTGGTTGGTTGCTTGCTTGCACCAAGGACTCCTCCATTCAACCCTGAGCAACATATATTCTTTTCTATAGGTATTATAAACTAATACTGAAGAATTCTATTCTTGTCATTGGGTGATCAATTGCATCTGGAAGGGAAAAATGTTGATGGTTGTGTTTAACACAGTTGTGGAGAACTAGAGAACAAAATACTTTTGAATGCCTTTTAGCTCTCTCCCCCCCCCTCCTGCCCCTCCCCATGAAATCCTTAATGCTCCATCATCTGGATCTCAGCAGTTACTTTTCAAGACATTATAAAAATGATGGCTTGTCTCTGTGCACTGTTTGGATAACACATGTTTCTCTATAACTGCTGCTATCTTCCAGGATGTTATTTGAACTGATATTGACTTAAATTAGTATTTTTACATCTAAAAATTAATTTTCCATCCAAGTCCTAAAACTAAAATCTATTGACATAGTTGTCCAACATGTGATTTGCCTTAATCTGTTAACTCTTTCACAACATTCTTAATTTAAGCGATGAGTTACTGTGTAATGGAATTAGAAGCATTCAGTTAAGTGATCCTGATTGTTAATTCAAAGAAGAAATTATTTTTATCCCCAGATAAATTGGGCTTAGTTGGGGAGCTAAGATAATTCTTCTCAAGCATTTGCACTATGGACTACTTGCGAGTAACCTGTCTCTATATGGTTGAGGCAAATTCCTAGAGAAGTCCTTTAAAGAAGTATCCCCTAGCACCCCATCATGACTGTCTTTTTAGAGTCATCTACACTTCTCCCCTGCTTTAACCAGCCAAATCCAGCAAGAGGAAGAATGATAAACCCCCTTCCCCCCCCCAAAAAAAAATCTGCAGTGCTGCTATTCCACTGTTTAACCTGCATTCAAAGAAACAGTAACTGTCAAGTGCAAGAAACCAGGAGCCGGGATAGAGTTCAAAAGTGCTACAAGTTTATTTCATGCTACCTATACATGATGTATTGACCCCACCATCCAGTCATCTCTAATATATGAACATATGAAAAAGCAAGCAGCAGCCTCCATTAGTTAGGACATAGAAAATGGCTAAGGCATTGTGACTCATGTGCTGCTGACATAGTGGGAGATGATTCAGCAGGGCTCCCTTGGGTCCAAACCTCTTACTGCATGTGAATGGAACCTCTGGGGCCAAACCTCTTACTGCAATGTGGCAGATAATTCATTCAGCAATCTTCTTGCAGTGAGGAAGGCTACTTGCTTATTTATTTATTTCTGGTCTCTGAACATCTCAAAGAATATAGCTGTGTTATGGTGTCCCTGAAGAAGGCAAGATTAGAATTTTTAGCTTTTTTTAAGCTTGAGAACTTTTATTTTTTTAATAAAATAGTTAACAACAAATTGTTAAACCTAATGAAGTATAATACACATTTTGTTCCCAATCCATGTGGACAATACTGAATTGGATGGATAAATTGCTTGAACTTCCTTCTGCTTTTTGATAGGACATAAACATGGGTCTCCTAGTCCAACCCTTTGGTTGTTATATACTAGCCTAATAGCTGACTTTCCAACTTTTATTTGAACAAATGTGAATGCTTCACATGTATAACATAGTTAGTTACTGTGTTTTGGTCTTGGATATTGTAAAACTGGGAGGAGCTTTCATGAACTTTTCAAATTTGAAGCGGGTTTCTACATTCCATTGGGCTATCTTC